GGCGAACGGGGCTCTGGTAAGATATAACCACGATGTCCGGTAAACTACGAGTAGATACCCCAGGTAGGTAGAGCCGCTAGCTCAGAATCCTACACTGCACTTGCAGTCAGTCCCGCGGATTCTGGGGGGACACCTCGACATTAGGAGCTCAAACGTCCCAGCAAGGACAGCGTGTTGTAATGGAAATCAGCAAACCACCAATCAACGGCTAAGGGGCTCGCGGAACATTAGCCTTGCGAAAACCTTACTCAGAACTACCTCCAGCACAAGACCTGCATCCCACAGATTCAGCTCAAAGGGACAGTCTTGAAGCACGACCTGATCAGATGAATAATCTTAGAAGACGAAGATGGTCAAAGGAGGAGAACTATGAAGTGATTGGGGCATACTACAGTGCGATTGCAAGTAAAATCGCAGCTCCAAAAACAAGAGGCACCTTCGAGATCTGGAGAAATCGTAATCCAAATATTATGCCAGAAATGAATGCACAAAAACTGTCAAACTAGCGACGTGTAATAGAAAGGAATTTAACGGAAGCAGAACGACAGGAAATAAAATTCGGTGTGTATTCGTACCTTCACCAGCAAGAAAATGAACCTACACTGCCACCTGCTACCGTAGAGAGTAATAAAGGAGAGCTAGCTGAGAATAACAACACTCCTATAGCGACTAAGAACGAAGAATTATCTGAGAATAACGATGCCAAGTGGCATGCTCAGGGTGAGGCAGTTGAACTGGAAAAACAGATTCTTGAAAAATATCATGATGTGCAGGCTACTCGGATTGAACACCGTAAAGGGATAAAAAAACCAAAGTATGGTAAACACCTGACCGAAGATATTAGAAAAGCGAATAGAGCACTAGCTAAAATCTGCAGAGATAGACAGTTAACAATAACTGATCTCAATCATCTAATATATGCTTCTGCAGCTATAATAGCGGGAGAGGAAGAGAATAACAACAGCCCTAGGACTAAAGAAGGACCTGAAGGCCCCCGATGGAAGATGCGCCTAAAGAACAAAATTTCGTAAATTCGCCAAGAAATATCCATTTTAAGCGAAATAAATAAGGGGGTAGTTTTCAGTGATGTTTTAAATAAAGCTGACCGAATAAGGGCTAAGTATAGCCATTCATCGCTTGGTGACCTAATAAACACACTACAAATGAAGCTGCAAGCGAAGGCTCAGAGGTTGCGGCGATATACAAGACGTGTCGATCAGTACAAACAGAATAGGCTATTCCAAGCAAATCCCAAGAAATTTTACAGGAGTCTAAAGGAAGAAGTACAAGTACAAGAACCACCATCAAAAGAAGATGACGACTCATTTTGGAGAGACATATTAGAGCAGGAGATACCTCACAACAAAAAAGCTGCCTGGATTGAGCAAGAAAGGCGAAACAACAGCCAAATTGTCACTTCTCAATGGCATGACTATACCGAAGACGAAGTTAAGGAAGTCATTAGGTGTTTGCAAAATTGGAAAGCACCAGGGCCAGATAAGATCTGTAACTTCTGGATAAAATCCTTCAATGCACTCCACTGTCATCTGGCTGTTGCTATGAGCAATTTGACCAAATACCCTAACAACACTCCGCATTGATTGACAACTGGTATCAGATACTTGCTGTACAAAGGCAAAAATTCTAAAGAGGCAAAAATTATCGTCCAATTACCTGCTTACCCACACTGTATAAGGTTCTTACTTCACTTATTTCTAATAGACTATATGACCATCTGTCCTCTAACAACATTCTACCGTCAGAACAAAAAGGCTGCCGTCGATCAACTCAAAGCTGCAAGGATCAGTTACTCATAGACAAAATGGTAGTTGCAGATGCCAAGAAAAGAAACGAAATCTAAGCATGGCCTGGATAGACTACGCCAAGGCATTTGACAGTATACCTCATAGTTGGATCCTTGAAGCTCTGAGTTTATATGGGATTAATCCGATTGTTGTGAAGTTCCTCGAATCATCTATGAAGAACTGGAATACCGAATTACAGCTGCATCACGCTGAAGGGTGTATAAAAACTGATAAAATAAGAATCCGCAGAGGGATATTCCAAGGAGACTCCTTGTCACCGCTGCTATTCTGCATCTCCCTGGTTCCACTGACTAACGCTCTGAATTCTGGAAAACTTGGATACGAGGTCAGGCAGGGTTCTTATATAAGTCATCTATTATATATGGATGACCTCAAGTTATTCGCATCCAGCAACAAGCAGCTAGATAGAGAGCTAGACATTGTGAAGCGGTTTAGTGAGGACATATGCATGCAGTTTGGCCTGGAAAAATGTAAAAGGATCACGATTACCAGAGGAAAGATCTCAATGAATGTAAACCAAATAACTGAAAATAGTGCAGGATTTGACTATCTTGATCCAAGTGAAACCTTTAAATATCTTGGCGTACATGAAAGTGACGAGGTACATCATGAATCTATGAAAGAAAATGTGAAGAAGGAATACTATGGTCGGTTAAGGCGAATCTTGAAAACAGAACTGAGCGCCGAAAATAAAATAAAGGCAGTCAACAGTCTTGCTGTACCGGTAATGCAGAATAGCTTTGGAATATTGAACTGGAGCGGATCAGACATTGGAAAAATAGATAGAAAAACCAGGAAACTGTTAACCATCTATAAGTTTCATCACCCCAAAGCTGACAAAGACCGACTCTATATTCCAAGGCGCGATGGTGGCAGAGGTTTAATTGAACTCTGCAGTGCCTACAGGATGACAATTTCCGGCCTTTATGAGTATATACTCCATTCCAATGACAAGTTCATCAAGTTAGTGCTATTGCATGAGCGACAAAAGGCTAAATACTCCATTACAAACATCGGGGAAGCCATGAAAAGACAATATGCATACCAATTGAACGAAGATCAGTCAGCGGACAACTTGAAACTCAGAGTAAAGGAGGCCATGCGAACAGAAAAAGTCAACGCCCTAAAATCGAAACCACTTCATGGACACATATACCTACACAAAACCATGTAGATAAACACATGTCCCTGGATTGGATGAAAAGTACAGGACTGAACGCGGAGACTGAAAGTCTACTGATTGCTGCACAGGACCAGGCACTTAACATGCGCTACCATAGAAGAATGGTCCTGAAACAGAATGTCGACAGCAAATGCAGAATATGCCATCAATGTGAGGAACATATAAGCCACATTATTTCAGGCTGCTCAACACTGGCACCAACAGAATACACCGAAAGGCACAACAACGTCGCTAAATACATACACTGGGCTATCCTCAAGCAGCACCAAGTACCAGTTAGCAACAACTGGTATGATCATTCTCCTGAAGCAGCAGTAGAGACAGACGAAGCATCAATTATGTACGACAAAGGAGTCATTACCGACCGTACGATTTCCGCCAACCGACCTGATATTATTTACCATAATAAAACACAGAACACATGCCTGCTAATTGAGGTATCTGTACCAGACGACAACAACGTCAACACCAAAGAAGCGGAAAAGGCCAGAAAATACAAAGACCTCGAAATCGAAATATCGCGCATGTGGAAGACAAAGACAAGAACGATACCCGTGATCATCGGAGCTTTGGGGACTGCCACTATGTCATTCAAGAACAACATAAAAGAACTCCCCGGAGATGTTTTTGCAACACAAGTTCAAAAGATAGCACTGCTAGGAACAGCCCACATCTTGCGGAAAACCCTTTCCGACTAAAGACCTTAGAACTCAGGCAGAGTTCCGGTCAAGCTCATCCCTTCCTCTAGGAGTGAAATACAGACTAATAATAATAATAATAATAATAATACCGTAACGACGTAGACGGTACGCCAGCAACGCAACGTCTGGCCTCGACCAAGTGGTTGAGCTACTGTTATTAACACCGAAGGAAAGTCAGTACGGCAGCACACCTCCTGTTCATCCAGGCGTGATTTTTGTCTCCCTTCCACGCCTGAGTTTTAACACTTTTAGGTAAACAATTACACCTACCTATCAGAAGAGAACACAATTACCCAGAAATGGAGAAAAAACAAAATGAAGCCTCGGAATGTAACGACGTAATCGGGACTCGACGCTATGCGACATCCAGCGAAAGCCCCCCACAGATAGTGTGAGAAGTAACTCGAATGACCCCATCCAACAGCTTCCTGGGGTCGAAGATGGCAATCATGTTGCTGGAAGCCAAGAGCCCCAGCCCATAATGCCAGACAATAGGATGAGAAAAAGGACCACGTGGACTACCGAAGTGAACAGATTCGTGGTTCGCTCCTACTACAGAATCACTAAACTAGAAACATCCACAGAGCCCTATGGTACTGAACTACACAAACAAGTTATTATAAATTTCCCTCACCTGCAAGGCAAAACTGTGCAAAACGTACTAGACCAGCGCCGATCCGTATTCATAAACAACATATTGCCGGCAGAGGAGACAAACAAAATAAGAGAAGAGATATCCATAGAATTAGGAATGCAGGAACAAGCTCCGCAAGACCACACAGAAAACCAAGAACAAATTGAGGCAAACGATGGCCAACCCTCTAAATACGCAGATGAGTTCAGGGGCTTGTTCATGAGGTATGATGGTGTGGAGCCAACTCTTAAACCAAGCCTACCAAAGCTAATAATAAAACCCCATACATCTGAGTATATCGCTGAAGTTAACAAAGTAATAGATAACGAGATTACAGAAGATACAACCTTGACTGAGCTCCATAGCCTGTTGTACACTGGAGCACTTACAGTCCTAAAATTAAATGAACAGAGAGATGGCGAACAATGTGTAAGAAAAAACAGAAAACTGCCAGCCTGGGAGATGAGGATATCGCGTAATATAGAGGAGATTGGAAAGGACATAGCAATACTCACCCACTACCGCAGGTCTGAATGTAGTCTGAGAGTAAAGAGATCCGCAGAGAATGTGATAAACCGTCACTGCTCGGAGGAGAACCCAACAGCTGTAGAAGTCTTGGACTGCCTGAAGCAAAAACTAGCAGCTACAGCACTGCGAGTTCGAAGGTACAAGAACAGCAACGAACGCCGGAAACAAAATCGAGCATTCGAGACCAATCAGCGAGGATTTTACAGGAACTTGCAGGCGCGACGGAGGGATACCAAACAGAACAACGTTCAGATTCCTACCTCAGATGCCATCAACACCTTCTGGTCAGAAATTTGGAGCAATCCAATCCATCATTCCACATATAAACGGTACCGCCGAGAGAAAGCAAATAATTCAACTTTTAGGACCATGCTCGACTGGAAAGTTAGCTAAGATGACGTGGTAAATACTTTACGAAAATTACCAAACTGGAAAGCCCCAGGATCAGATAAGCTTCAGAATTATTGGCTAAAAACGTTCACTTCGGCTCACGGTCGACTCGCAAAGTGCTACACCTCAATCTTAGAGCAGCCAGATATGTTTCCAGAGTTCTTAACAATGGGAATAACATATTTAATCCCAAAGTGCGGCGGTCACTCGAACGATCCCGCAAAATACCGACCAATCACCTGTCTGCCGACTATTTACAAGGTATTGACTGCTATAATTACTGAAAAGATATATTCACACCTAGAGCGGAAGACTATACTAGACGAAGAGCAAAAAGGTTGCCGAAAAGGTTGTCGAGGCTGTAAAGAGCAACTTGTTATAGACTTTGTCATAACTAATTATGTAAAGAAGAAAAAATATCCCTGTACATTTCATACATCGATTATCAGAAAGCGTTTGACAGTATACCTCACTTGGCTGTTAGAGATGCTTGACCTTTATGGGATCGAGTGCCACATCAAACAATTTCTGGCACATGCTATGGCGAATTGGAAGACACGGCTCTATCTCAACACCCAAGATACGCAATTTAGTGCCGGAGAGGTATCCATCAAGAGAGGAATATTTCAAGGAGACTCTTTAAGTCCGCTATGGTTTTGCTTAGCGCTTAGACCGTTAACAACAATACTAAATAGCCAAAAGAAAGGAATACTGTTAGGTGGCAATGAAACACGCATTTCACATCTTTGGTACATGGATGACCTCAAACTTTTTGCAGAAACCAAAGCACATCTTCATAAGCTTCTGGACTGTGTAAGTAAATTCAGCACTGACATCAAGATGCTGTTTGGCTTAGACAAGTGCATGATCAGTTGCATGGTAAAAGGCCAATGGAGTAAGCATTCAGGATATGAGCCGAACCAAGTGCAAGGGAAAATTGAAGGAATGCAGCAAGATGAACAGTATAAATACTTCGGCTATCTACAAGCGCCGGGCAAAGACCAGAAAGCTGCAAAAGAAAAGGCAATGGAGCACTATAGAACACGTTTGAGGGCAGTGCTGAAAACAAGTTTGTCAGCTCGTAATACAGCACTTGCTGTCAGCACCTACGCTACTTCGGTCCTTACCTACACGGCATACTGAACTGGACGGATACAGAACTGAACGCACTTAATGTGGAAACCAGAAAAGAATTCCGTAAACACCGGGGACACCACCCACAAATTTCCATAGAGCGGTTCCATCTACCACGAAGTGAGGGTGGCAGAGGAATACCTTGCATACCTACACTACATCACCGCCAAGTGGACAATCTACGCCAGTACTTCCTCCAAAAAGCCACATCCAGCAGAATGCATCAAGCAATAACACAGACGGATAAAAAGTTGACACCACTAAACCTTTCAGAAACATCTTTAAACCCTGAGGCAAAGATAACCCCAATGCAGGATCTGGTTGGCCAATGGAAAGCCAAACCACTACATGGTCGGTATAGGAGCCGCATAGACGACAACGCCATTGACACGAAGGCTTCCCAAGGATGGTTGCAGTCAGGTAATCTGTTCCTGGAGACGGAGGGCTTCATAGCCTCCATCCAGGATCAGGTAGTCCCAACAAAGTTGTACCGAAAGCGTATAAAGCATGAGAACGTTGAAGATATCAGATGCAGCATATGTGGGGAAAAAGATGAGCACATAGATGATATTGTAGCAGGCTGATCTCCCTTAGCTCCTAAACAATATCTTGAAAGACACAATGATGTGGCCAAAATACTTTATCAAGCTTTGGCTAAAAAGCATCTAGGAGAAACTGGTACACAGCCCTACTATAAATACACGCCGCCACCTGTGATAGAAACGGAGACCTCTAGGCTGTACTGGAACCGTAAAATCATAACTGACAGGCCCCCAACAATATTCCTAACATAGTGCTCACACTAAAAGAAGAAAGAACGACGTTTATAATAGACATAGCTGTGCCTCTTCCTACTAATATCCAAACCACCCATGAGGAAAAGATCAATAAGTATTTGCCACTCTCCGACGAAATAAAACGCATGTGGGAAATGGACAATGTGTCTGTAATAAAAGTTATCATAGGAGCTACTGGGGAGATACCAAGGAAACTACACAAGAGTCTGGAAAAGCTACAGCTCCATCCAAAAATATACTTGCAGTTGCAAAAAGCTGCACTGCTGGGACATGTAGGACAGTACGTAGGGTTTTAGGAGATGAGAACCGGATACGGTGAAAAAACCGCTGCAGATCTATTTCCTTACTTTGGTGGTTAGCCTGAGGGAAATATTAATACCTTCGACAGAGGAGTAAAATAGTATAAAGTAATAATAATAATAATAATAGTAATAATGAAATAATAATAATAATATAATAATAATAATAATAATAATATTAATAATAATAATAATAATAATAATAATAATAATAATAATAATATTATAATAATAATAATAATAATATTAATAATAACAATAATTATTATTATTATTACCATAATAATAATGATAATAATGATAATAATAATAATAATAATAATAGTGGTAAACAGGGCGCAGGTGTAGTGAGGGCTCCTACCCTTCGGAAGCGTCAGGAAGATGAGCCTGTAGCGGGGCCCAGTGGATTGTGTGGCACTGCCTCGCGAAAGGATTCCACACAGAGGCAAGTTCTGGACAAGAGAAGGGATGATACACCGCAACTTCGTGATAGTCACCACACGGAGGAAACTCAAAGTGGACTACTCGAAGTACTGGAAACAAGTATCTCAGCCGAAAAGACCAGGGGTAAAAGAATACCCTGGAGTGAAGAAGAGTTGAGAGAAGTGATGTGGTGTTATCATTACTGTAGGCTTACTGATAGGAATACCTATGTTGCAGTCTATAAGATGTGAAGAAGGCGCAACCCAGACTCCAGACTTAACATCGATGCAAACAAACTGCAAAACCAAAGAAGGTACATCCAACAGAATAAAAGGTTATCAGAAGAAGTCATAAATGAACTGATTGAAAGCAGTAAAGAAACGATCGATAGAGAAAAGACAGTAGACCATCACGATGTCGCACAGGTACCGGAAGAACATTTTGAAGAATCTGACATGCACAAAGAAATAAAGGACAAATATCTAAGCCTGATTGAAAAAAGCGTATCTGAACGTGACTGTCTGCCCATAATATATACTAGTAAAAGAGCAAAGAGACTCATCGAGGAAGGCAACTGCATAGTTAGCAACATATTGCAAACACTGGGACAGAAAGACCTAATAAAGATGGATTGCCTCATTTATGGTACAGCATATGTGATTACATCAAAATTAGTAAAACCTACAGCGCGAAAAAGAATAGCTGGGACCCCAAAGCAAACACCTAACTGGCAGAGGCGGCTAAGTAATAAAGTTTGACCCTCAGGAGAGACTTATCGAATTTAGTTCACATACAAATGGCAGGCTGTCCGCAGAGTCGGCTAAAGGGAAGATGCTGTTAAACAAATACGTCACAGAAGGAAAAACGCTAATAGAGAAGATAGAGGTAATGAAACAACAAATCTCGGCCACTGCTCAAAGACTCAGAAGGTATAAGAATCGACAAGAGCAGCACAAGCAAAATAGTCTCTTTAATGTCAATCCCAAAGCATTTTATAGGGAGCTGCGAGAAGGAAAAAGGGAACCCATTGAAGCTCCAGCCATCTCTACAACTGAAACGTATTGGAAAAGTATTTTGAGAAAAGTGTTAACCACAACGAGAACGCAAAGTGGCTGAAAAAGGTAGAAGGGGATAGAGCCACAACTATGAGCTGGCAAAATATCAGTGTCGTGGAAGTCAGATCAGCACTGCAGCAGGCCCAAAATTGGAAAGCCCCTGGTATAGGCCAGATACCCAATTTCTGGCTGAAACATCTCGTGTGCACACACGAAACAATAACAATGATATATAATAGTTACTTCGATAACGGAACAGATATCCCAAACTGGCTGCCAAAGGGTAAAACATATCTTCTTACAAAGTCTGGAGATAGTAAGGACCCCAAAAATTACAGGCCTATCACCTGTCTGAATACCTTGTACAAATTGTTAACTAAAGTTGTAGCCAGCAGAATATCTGATTATGTAAATGATAATAAGATAATACCAACTGAACAAAAAGGCTGTGGCAAGGGCTCTCTTGGTTGCAAGGATCAGCTACTCCTCTCGAAAGCCATTGTAGAAGATTGTAAAGAGAACAAAAAAAATCTTAGCATTGGATGGATTGGCATTCGACAGCGTCCCGCACAGCTGGCTCCTGAAATCTCTGAAACTTATAGGAACATCTGAGAAGATCATTGATCTATGTAAGCGATTGATTTCGCTATGGGGTACTACCCTGTTAGTCAGTAATAATGGGGAAGAAATAGAGTTAAGACCCATACAGATAAAAAGAGGTATATATCAAGGTGATACCTTGTCACCTCTTCTGTTTGTCATTGCGATGGTTCCTTTAAGTACGCTGCTCAACGAGGCCAACCTAGGTTACCAACTTAAAGGAGCAAATGATTGTCTCTCCCATTTGCTATATATGGATGACCTAAAGCTCATATCTCCCAGCAAAAACAAACTGAATACGTCTCTCAATATTGTAAAAAAATTTAGCGACGACATACAGATGAGCTTCGGTCTCGATAAGTGCGCTGTAGTCACATTCAGGAGAGGAATGCATTATGACTCTGATAATATAATAGTTGATGAAGGAGAGACGATCAAATCACTAGAACATGGCGGAGTGTACAAGTACCTGTGAATTAAAGAAGGCTCACACATCACCCACGATTCACTGAAAGTTGATATTAGACATGAGTATATAACGAGAGTACGTAAAATTCTGCAAACTCAACTCACGTCTAGAAACAAGATAACAGCAATTGGAGCTCTTGCCATACCAATCATGCAGTACAGCTTTGGTATAATCAATTGGACATTGGATGACATAAGACAAATGGATCGCAAAACAAGAAAACTAATGACAACACATAATATCCCTCATCCCAAAGCAGACATCGACAGATTATACGTGCCACGAAAGAAAGGGGGACGAGGACTAAAGCAAATAGAAGAAACGTACAACAATACTATCTTCTCAGTAGGGCAGTATATTCAAACTAGATCTGAGCAAGACCGCCTACTACAGATGTTACTAGCACATGACAATAGGAAACCAACAAATAGATCTATTGTAAAGCGTAGTAATAAGATCAAATTAGAAGCTGCGGAAGCCGGACATACGGTCGAGCGAGGTAACAGGTCCATCAAACTGTACTTGAAGCAATGTGTCGAAGAGAAATGGCGGAGTAAGCCTCTACACGGACAGCATATCCGTCAAATGGAGGAGCTTCCGGTTGACTTAAGACTGTCATCTGGATGGTTACAGTACGGAGATTTAAAAGGGGAAACGGAAAGCTTGCTGGTGGCAGCACAAGATCAAGCCTTGAAAACGCGTTACATTGAGCAAGCAATACACAAGACGAGGAATGACGGTAAATGCAGATTGTGTCACATTCATAATAAAACTGTTGAACATATAATATCTGCATGTCCAATACTAGCGCCAAAAGAATATACTGACAGGCACAATATTGTCTGCGCAGCCATCCATCTAGAAGTGTCTCGCCACCTTGGTTGTCCAATAAAATCGACGAAATGGTATGAGCATCACCCCGACAGAATAACACGAAGTGAAGATGGTAGTATCACAATAATGTATGACCATCCCGTTATCACGGATAGAGAAATAAAAGCAAACAGACCAGATATTGTTATAAAAACCACCGAAATATGCTATATAATTGATATATCGATACCTGCAGATAGACATGTCATACAAAAGGAGGCTGAAAAGCAACTAAAATACAAATCATTACTCATAGAAGTGCAAAGAATGTGGCATACAAAGGCAGTTGTTATTCCCGTAGTGATTGGTTCAACTGGATATGTCACTCGCAACATCCTAGATAACCTAAAAAGGATACAGGAGATCATAATTTCTATCAGTTATTAGGCACATCGCACATAATTAGGAAAGTTATAACATAACCAGCTCATAAAATACAAAGATCTGTACCCCTCAGCTCCTCGGCGAGGACCCGGTTGCAGAGGTCAAACCATTCCATATAATACTAATACTAATAGAAAAACGGTCCTGTAGCGTGAAAAAAAAAAGATGAAATAATAATAATAATAATTATAATAATAATAATAATAATAATTATTATAATTATATTAATAATATTGATAACAATAATATTAATAAAAATAATAATAGTATAATAATAATATAATTATTATAATAATAAAAATAATTATAATAATGATTATAAATAATAATAATAAAAGTTATAATAATAATTATAATAATAATAATAATAATAAGTAATAATATTAATATAATAGTATAATAATAATAATAATAATAATAATAATAATAATAATCATAATAATATTAATAATAATATAATAATTATTATTATAATAATAATAAATAATTATTATTATAATAATAATAATAATAATTATTACCATAATTATAACATTTACCGGAAATAGAAAATCAAGCGGTCGAGGATGAAGAAGATTACTGTCTACAGATATTAAGTCCATGACAAGGAAGACCTTGAAGGATAAATGGATACGAAAGCAGCTTCATGGTCAATACTTGAAGAGAATAAGAGGCCAGGGATTA